CGTGTCTACTTTAAAGATAAAGATCAGCGACATGTGTGTAGAATAGTCAGTATTAGCAGACAAGCACCATTGCATCAAGTAACAATCAATGTGAAAAGTAAAGCAAACGTATGTATGAAGACAGAGCAGCGAAATTAACAATATTTTGAATATTAATACTAAAAGCTGAAATATAGATTCTACAAAGAAAATGGTGTTTATTTAACGCACAAGGTGAAAATTAATGCAGTTCGTTTTTCTACACAATCAGATACTGAAAAAACATTAAAACACCTGCTCTTAACAAACAAGTTGTAAAATTTAATGAGTTAAGAGATTTTGAACTTAATCAGGCGTACAATCGACAGTAAGTCATAACATAAGAGATCACTAACTGGCACAGCTGACACATCAAAAAAGGTTTTTTTCTAAAAATTAAAATTTCTAATAGACAGAAAACCGTAAGATAACACGTCATTTACTTTATTTTTTTACATTTGCTTGATATTGAAGCAAAACTTACAATTTTAATTTTCGTAATATTTCACAATGTGAAAGAATTAAAACTAATCTAATATTTTTCACGTATATCTATATTGTTGAAATTTTAAAATAAAAATGGTTATCAAAAAGTTACATTTATCCTTTGTTTGCACATTGTTCAAAAAATCTTGTAATATAAGCAAGCATTTGTTTTTTTAAAAAAACCTTCCCCTTTTTTAGAGTTCATGGTTCAGTAAATTAACTTTTTTTTTCTACAATATTAAAAAATGTCTGTGTTCTTATTTAAATCTGAATATCACTTTGATGTGCTTGAATTCAAGATATCCTTAAGTTAATGATACAACATGCCCCTTTTTCTTTGAAAATTTTAGGAAGAAATACAAACATTAAGGTTCTTTAATCGAAAAACATTATTATTTTTCTCATATCTGAATCATCAGAGGGTATCTGAATCATCGGCAAATTTCAAAATATTACAAAAACATTCTGAAACATTTTTTTTACAAAAATTGTTAACACGGTTAACATAATACATTGAAAAAAAAAAGACAACTTAAATTCTTTGTTTCAGTTTTAATAATTCAATATATGTTTTGAGTTATGATTACCTAGTTTGGATAAAAAAGAGGGGGGAGGGACACAGTGGGGAAAGAGATTTTTGATAAACAATATTAAAAGAAATAAAGGATCTTAGCACGAGAGAGAAGGGGAAAGGTTTTTTACAGAAAGAGATTATTCACAAACAATGGCTTTAGATCCTGTTTTTAAATAGAGCTCGTAAAAAGAGTGAAGAATTCCCAATAAAAACCTTGAAAGATACTAGCATTCTCTAATTTTATTTTACTGTGTTTCATTATCACACAAAAACCCAAGGAAATTTATTTTTGTTTTTAAAAAGTGTAATTACCAAGCACCCACCCTGACATTGGTAACCCTCAAGTCAATCGAGCATTTTTGAATTTATTTTTAATAGCGGTGACTACATCATAATCACTAGTATGGCGGAAGAAAAACGTGCGAAGCGAAGCTTCATGTACAAGGCACGTGATGTATAACATCCAATTAACATCGTTTGACTCAACCACGTGATCTGTAAAACGACCAATTATAATCATTAAAGTAGATGCTATGATTTGAATCAACCAATTACAGGCATTAAAGATGCTTTGCATTTTCGTTTTTAATGCAGCTACCAACACGTTTAAAGGTTGGATAGGTGTTATAGATCACGACTATATTTTCATTATAATAACCTGGCTGGAATTTTATTGTTTCTTTAATAGAAGGAACGGGGAAAAAACAGTACGGAACAGCACACAGGTTTGGAAAAGAGCATGATATTGAAATCGTGTACCATCAAAATACGTGCAGTAAGAAATACGTGAGAAGATTCACAAATTATATAATCCGTTACAGAATTTGTTGAATGAATAATAATATTTTAGATAACTGTGTCATTCAGATATATATTTCGAAATAATGTTAAAACAAATGTATAAAAACAAAATCTTTACAATATATATACGAGCAATTTTTTTAATACTGACTCAGTAGTTCCATCGCAATTAAATCTTGAAATGAATTTTAAAAAAAAATAATAACAGATACAAATTACAGCATGGTAATAAGACTAACGATGAAGTGTAAATTTTCCTTTTTATCACTAAATTCAAATGTAAATTGTCAGAGATAAAAATATCAAAATATTATGCCTTAGAATGCTTTTTTACAGCATACGTTATAATTATTTAATTTAATCTACTGTTAATCCTAAAATAGTATCATATCAGCATCTAGCAATTAAATACAGTCTATAGCATAGGCCATAGACTGTATTTAGACCAATCAGTGGTGCGTGAAAAATTTGTGAGAGCTTGTAGAAAAATTGGGACATTATTTATATTTTTGTGAAGATTCAGTTTCAAAAATGACGAATTATTAAACGAATTATGTAACGCAGATTATACTTTTTAAAATTTTAGCTACTACTTTTAGCGAAATTCCTTTTGATTTTAACGACTTTTTAGCTACTTTTACCGGTGTATCTAGAGGCATTTGAAAGCGAGAGTAGGCAACCTAGGTTAAAAGGTGTCAAAACACTTCAATTTGTTGCTATTGATTTGCGTATCTGGTTTCTTCTTGCTTTTCGTGAAGTTACTTTTCAGCGATATGGAAATGTAAATCGAGACGTAAGTGCTAATATAGTTATAGTAACCTGCCATTTGATGGTCAACCGTATTAGCGGTCCGCCAAACATAAAATTATACATTTTGTGGTTCCTGAAGCTGCTAAAGGTTGGCGACCGCTGACATGGACTGTATTCATTTGCAAGACGCTGACTCATCGGCGTAATATAATGAAAATTGTAGTACGAAAGTATACACTGTACTTGAAATTGGTAGAATAAAATTAAAATATTTATTATCGCCAAATAAGCGCAAAAAAAAAAAATTTTTTAAAAGTCTTTAAAAAAAGGGAATGTCATTTATCATCCAGGGAAATCTTAAACATTTATACATATTTTTAGAACAAAAATGATCAGCCACTGTATCAGCGACGAATAAAAGATATGGATTTAATTTCAAAATAACAGGTACACGAAATTCAAGATCATTTTAATAAGAAAGAAAAAAAGAGACAAGCATTTTTTTATAATAAAAGGAATGGAGAGAAAATGTATTAAGTAAGTTGGGGAATATTAATAAATGTTCGTTAAACATGGAATAAACGCGCACAAAATGTAAACACGGCATAACCTTCAACATCATTCTAGTCTTTATTCCCTCACATTTTGATTCTTTTTTTTTCCGAATCCCTCCCCCTACCTGTAGTACGTATGTGGATGATGATCAAAGTAGCTTACACACATGGTTGGTTTTCACTCATGGTTTCAAAATAGAAGAGTTTCCAAATCGAACCTGTTTTGATGTCACTTGCAGGGCAAACACCCCTGGCACTGATATAAACTTTGACTTGATTCATTCAGAAAACTTTACATGCTTCGTTGTGTTGCAAAAACATTTCAAGTCGAAGCGAATCGGGTTTTCAAATTCTTGATGCTTGTTTTCCAAAAACCATTTAATGGCTTAGGATTGATGAGATTTGATTTTTTAACTGTATTTCCGCGATTTTCGTTCGCACATAAAAACAACTTAAGTAACACTTTTCATGGCAATGTAATAAGTTTACGCGCAATAAACAAATAAATGTTTTAATATAGTTATGAATTTTGTATTTTGATAGATACAGATATGGCCGATTCCTTGCAACCTAAAGTAAAAGCCAGACCTCTATTTAACGAAATTGCTAAATCCCGATAAAAAGTTCGTAACGCGGAAAATTCGTTAAATAGAGATTCATCTTTCATATACTTTTTTTCATATACTTTCAGTATACTTTATTCTAAGATCAAGGAAAAAGTTTGTAAAATAGAGGTTCGTAAAATAGTCCGATTGTATTTTAATATTTTTTACATGGAATTTATTACAGCAAAACATTAAAGCTATTTTAGGAAACAATTTAAGAATCAAGTGATAAAACAATACACAAATTATAAGTTAAATGTATTTTTTAAAAATTTTATCATATTTTCAGTCATACATTCCCCGAATTCTAGTACCTATGTAACTAAAATGCTTCATCGAATGAATCTGTTAAAAATAATTACTTTATTGTTTCAAGTTTTATTTTAACCCATCCACAAAACTTTTAATTTGTTTTCCCTCTGCTATTGAAGCTAATTCCTAATAAGATCAACCGAAAAAAATTTTTAGGGAGCGAAAAATCGTCTCATTATCTTGATTTAACTATTTTAAGAAATACAAGGTATTTTACTATTATGTATATATCTGATCGATTAAATCCATCTTTTCGGTACAAAATAAATTTAATGCTTTCATTCCTGTGACGTCACAATCACATGATAAATGCAAGCAGTCTTGGGGGAAAATGTTTTAAGCTAAAATGCAAATTTGTTTCTTTTCTTTAAGGCTGTTTTCGCCAAACGTACGAGACCCTGAACTAAACGCGGAACACATTTTTTGGCAAGAAAATGTCTGAATTTTCATGAAAATTTCCAACACTGTATATAATTTATACATTTATTTATAATATAGCGTTTTTAAAATTTCAAAATATTCCAAAAATAATTATATTTTCGTTTTAACACACGAAGAGATATCTCATTTAACATTACGGTATAGGAGAAAAATGCGAAACACATTTTACATCAGAAACAAGGAATATTAAAAAAAAAAAAAAGTAAGTCAATTCCTACTTAGGACAACAAAGAAATTTTTTATTTTAGTTACTTTTTATTAAATAGTTATAATAAATATAAATATATATGTACAAATGACAGAATCACAATTTTCAGGGACAAAATAGAAAGCGATTTTCCTTGCACAATTTTCTATTTTCCTTTCTATATAGGGTGTTAAGGCTATTTTTTTGTTACTGTTTATTTATTTTAATAAAATAGTATTATAAAAACGAAATCATAGCCTCAGAAATTAGACCATCCCAGGTGGGGCTCGAACCCACGACGTTTGGATTAGAAGTTCAAAGCGCTATTCATTGCGCTACAGGAAAAGAATGAGCGCTATTCCTTTCTATATATGCTGTTGGACTATTATTTTTGTTTGCTACTATTTATTAATTTAATTAATGAGTTAATATTTGAAAAACTGTATTAACTTCAAGTGTCCTCCACTACAAGTTTTAAAAAATGTATTTGAACTTGAATGGATAAATAGAAAGTATTTTATTAACGATTGAAATTTTGAACAAGATATATATATATATATATTGGGAGAGAGTGAACTATAGTGGAGTTGAAAAATGGAAACACCTTGGATAAAAGTGAGGAGTATGATAAAATATGCTGTTTTCAATAGGGTAGTGAAGCCAGAATATAACATTAATGTTTCTCAATCCTCTTATATCAAAAAAATGTTCCAAATTCGAATTATATTCTTTAACATATTGAACGAAGACAGCCTTAAAAGAATTCTTTTTTCCCTATATGTAAACAAATAAAACCTTAAAAGCACTTGACACTACTAATAAATTAACAAACATATGCATTCCTTCATCACCAGTCGCTATCGCATGCAAATATCGTCCTCCGCTGTAGTGGAATTCAGGTTCGCGTCCACTTTCGTAAAATCTCAGTGACACAGCAAGCAAGTATTCCCACGTGACTCAAGAGTGCGAGACAAACCGACCCACGGTGAAGGCATCGTTTTAATTTCCAGTCACAGTAATTGACCTCTTGCTCACTGAAGCAGCGAAGAAATTTTGGATGTTGATCTTTACCGTGGGACACAACCAAGAGGAAAATCCTGGGTATGATGCTCATATCGCATATTTCGATGCAACATTTATTTTTGAAAGCACGGATTTTCCGAGGATTATATCCTATTTTTTATTTTGTCTGAATCGTGATGCAAATATTTAAGTATTTACAAATCTAAGGTTTATTTAAATGTCTCCTTCCCCACACGCATTTCATAAGTTGCGGTCATAAAAGAGGAAAAGTCTAATATGCATTAAATATAAGTTATAAAAATTAAAATATATATAATATTTTTGAAGAATAGAAAATAATAAACACGTAAGACAATTTACTATAACAGTATATATACTTGCAGAGACTAGGTTTTATTTTTTTTAAATAATCCTCAAATTTTAAATAATTTAAATCTTAATTTTAAAATATCTTAATGTTTGTCTGAATACTTCGGAGTGTGGCCGCGGTAGCCAAGTAGTCGAATCATAGCTGGCATATCATGCGTTCGAGCCCAGAACCTCTAAAGACCCGCCGTGTAGTGGAGCGATGCACGTTAAATGTGTCGAGAGCTCAAACGTCCTCCCGTTGGTGTGATGTGGTAGTTAGGAGAGGGGAGTGCCAGCTCCGGTGTCGTCCTCGTCACTTGACCATGGTTCAAAATTACGAGGCCCTTCGCCACAAGCCCTCGTGTAGCTGAACAGTGCGACGTTAATATTTACTCCCTCACTGAATACTTCGGAAGAGTTAAATGAAATTCATTTTGAAAAATTATGTAAATTTTAACCGATCAATCATGATTACAAACGATTTTAATTTATAACTCAACATAAATTTAAAAAATAAGAATCGGATCAAACTGTGTGAAGAGACATTTAGAGCTACTTGATACCTTTGAACAGTTTTCAGCTTCTTAAATTGCATTTATAAATTTGATTGGTTGTTTTAACACATCATATTCCGAAACAATACTAGAACCATTTGCCACAAACCTTGTAGTTTTTAACCACAGTCAAGTTTAGCTAAAAAAATTTGACTGAGTGAATATAAACGTCACACAATTCAGCTATTCGAGAGCTTTCGGCAACAGACCTCATAATTTTGAACCATGGTCAAGGACAACTGAGCTGGTATCCCACTCTCCTAACTTCCACACCATACCAACGGGAGGACGTTTGATCCTCGACATAATTAACGTGCATCGACCCCTATAGCATGGTGGGTCTTCAGAGGTACTAGGCTCGAATTCATGATACGACGGCCACGAGGCCGTCGTGTCATGGATTCGTCATGTCTTGACCACTAGGTTACCACGGCCACTGAAAACACTTGTGGAAGTTAAAATGTTAGTAATTGCTCATCACTCAAATGTGAGAACGAGTTTCGACTGGTTTAACGTAGGATGGCCCCCCTACACAGCGGATATTCAGTGGAACAACGCTAGCTATGATCTCAATTCCTTGTCCGTTTGGGTACCGCGTACCCTAAATTGCAAAGAATATATTTGGTTTTCTTCCATAACACGTATAGCAAAAGTAAAAATTAGTTAACTTCTCATTTGACAAAAGAATGCATTTTTTGGGGTTTCGTTAACATATTCGCATAAGTTTAGATATTCGATAGGGTGGATAATGTTTCATGTCGATCTTTCTTTCGGAATCCTTTTTTTTTCTGAGAGGAAAAAATGAAACCAAACAATTTAGATTCGCATGCGGGGAAAAGTGTAGCTTTCGAAACATTATACATGTATATGATACATATACACTATGCAAACTCATTGTAGTAGGAGAAATACTGATACAATACTAAATCATACGAAAGCTTTTCACTACCTTTGCATAGTATCGTCGCATTACAAAGCAATATTACGGCTATTGTCCACAGACACGGTTTTGTGCTACTACCAATTGACAAGAATGATATCTCAGCTGGTATCTCCCTTTATAATTTCTACAACCCGTCAACCCAACACAAGAGCTACAAACCAAAACCAATACGTCCGATATTTTTGAACAATAGTTACGGGACGAGATAGACATATGAACGCATTTCCACATTCCTGCTACACGGAAGGTCTTAAGAGTCTCAACGATTTAACGAGCCCCAGCTCTTCTATATGGTGGGTCTGGATAGAACCAACACCATTCAAGAGTTAGCGACCACGACCACTCGGCCACTTCGACTAATGAATTAAAGATATCGATTCTGCTATCACACACACACACACAAAAAGAGATAATATATATATAAATATTCTTTAATTTATTCATCCAAAATAAAAGATACACTTATAAAAACACAATTTCAGGGGATTTATCAATTTTAAGCATGGAACAGTGAGTTGTGAGTGATAGAACGTACAATTATGGGACATATCACGATATATTTTTTAGCTTTAAAAATTTTAGCGCCAGTATAGCGGTAAGAAATTAAAAAATATAGGGCAATATGATTAAAAGGTAAAAACACTAATATATATATATATATATATTACAAAAATATGCACACAAAAAATAGTTATAATTCTAAGATAACTATAGTCATGATAGAATAAAGTCTTAGCCACAGTAGTACTATATATATATATATATATATATTATTTCAAAAAGTTAAATACTTTTTACAAAAATTATACATTTCTAACTGTGTGAATTAATAGAATAAAAAAAATGTCCACAATATAAACCAAAAAGGATTTTCGAATAAATGAATAGTTAAAAGATCTCAAAACCTTGGTAAGATCATATAAGTTCGTTACAAAACTGTATACATATATATATATTTTTTTTAATTCCAATGATAAATCTATTTATTTCTCTATAATAAGTTCCCGATGCCCTAACATTTTTCAAGCAGATAACAAGGGGATCAGTAGCGCACACAAAAAATTTTCAAGGGGGGAGTCCATGGTCGAAAGTCCCCCAACATGTATCGTACCTCGAGACAACACCAATTGATTATTTCGATTTTTTTAGCAAGAAACAGTAAACAAAAATATTGAGTTAATAATTAGCATTAATTAATAAAATAAATTGTTAATTACAAGTATTTAATTAAATTTTACGTTATATATGTATAGAATTATCATCAGTCTAAGAAAACTTAAGGGCTTTGGGGGGGGAGTGTCCGGACCCCCAGGACACCTCCTTTGATTGCACCACTAAAAGGGATCACTATACAATATTATACATAAATAAAATTAGAACTTTTTAAAAAAATTCCTTTTTAATATGAATACATAAATTTAAATGCTTATTATAAGTGATAAAGCTTTTTTTTAATGATAAAGCCGCCGCTAAGTAACTAGAAGAATACATCATATATTCAAATCATATGTACTTTTAAAAAAATATTTAAAAAATGGACGCGATCTTAATTGTTAATCAATTATTTTTAGAACATATTTTTTGTAGCTAAAACTGTGATCACAATTTAAAATAACACATTGATGATCGAACCAAAAAGAATAATCTTTCTAAAAATTAACTTTCTGATACAAAATATCCTCTAAGTCTGTTTTAATGATATATGTACATTAAACTCATTAAATTGAAAACAAATTTGAAGAAAACTTAACATAAGGCAAATATAATGTAGAGATTTATAGACAAATAACAATATTGTTTAAAATATTTAAAATTTTCATTATTTATTCAAAATTTAATATCTTAAACAGGTCTAAAACAAAATACACATGAAACAGATAAAAATAATTAACTTTCTATGACAGGAAAAAAAATTGAAGATTTAATTCATCAACGATCTTCAACAGGGACAAATTAAAGTTGTGGAAAGCCAAATATAGAATTACATGTCTTGAATAGAGTAAGGGTTGTATCAGTCATCGCTACGATAATTAACTGATATAATCACATAATACTTCAGAAAAGTGAGGAACAGTTATGTTAGGTTTTCAATGTCTGTTTTATTTATATAATTTGAATTTCATGCAAATGTATATATTGCACGGAAATCAGAATAATTACTAGCAAAGATATTAGTATTTGATAATCAAACAACGTATGTTTCAAAAATGTCCGATTCATCTGATATTATTTATTTTTATTTTTACCCAACCTATTGCAAAGCTTTTTTTTAATGTTTCCCTCCGCCCAAACATTCGAGCTTCTCGAAAAAGCTCAAAATTTTCGAACAGTTAAGCTTAATTTTAAAAAAAAACCGGGAGAAATGAATTTCACCAAACTTGAATTTCACTGATATTGCTAGATCTATCGATGAAAATCCTAAGGGGAAAATATTCAAACCTTAGACTTTTTCCGTCATTTATAAGAAGAGAAAAAGA